TTGTATCAAAGGATCTTACTTTAACTCTGTATTTTTAGTCCCAAATTTGGATTGCAATCTCCTATCAATTAGTAAACTCACTCACGAGCATAATTGTGTCGCTAATTTTTTCCAAAACTCTTGTGGACCTGGATTCGGGGAAGATGATTGGCAATGCTAGGATGTGCTCGGGGCTCTATATTCTCAAGAATGACCATCCACGAGAACAACAACCTCACATGGCAGATTCGGACATGCCAAATCAGCAACTGACAAAATTTTCTTGTTCTGTTTCTCAATACAATAATGATAGTGCAATCATGTTATGGCACTATAGGCTAGGCCATCCAAACTTTGTTTACCTTCAAAAACTTGTTCCTTCATTATTCATCAATAAAAGTCCAAAAGATATTATACAAAATGGGGAATACTTACAAAATCAAGGTATTATAACATGCCAAATCAGCAACTGACAAAATTTTCTTGTTCTGTTTCTCAATACAATAATGATAGTGCAATCATGTTATGGCACTATAGGCTAGGCCATCCAAACTTTGTTTACCTTCAAAAACTTGTTCCTTCATTATTCATCAATAAAAGTCCAAAAGATATTATACAAAATGGGGAATACTTACAAAATCAAGGTATTATACAAAGTTCTTGTGTTGATACCCCTCAACAAAATGGGGTGGCAGAAAGGAAAAGTAGGCATATCTTAGAGGTTGCTAGATCACTTATGTTCTCCACCCACGTTCCAAAACATTTTTGGGGGGAAGTCGTACTCACAGCAACCCATCTCATAAACCGAATGACCTCACGAGTCCTAAACTTTCAAACCCCATGTCAGTCTCTTCTTCTTTCCTACCCAAAGTCCAGACTTCTCTCAACCATTCCATTCAAAGTGTTTGGTTGCTCTGCGTTTGTTCACATCCATCAACAACACAGAAGCAAACTTGATCCTAAATCCCTCAAATGTATTTTTATTGGTTACAGCCCAAATAAAAAAGGGTACAAGTGCTATTCCCCGGTCACAAAGCGATTCTACACCTCAATGGATGTCACATTCTTTGAAAATACACCATACTTTCCCAAATCAGCTATTCAGGGGGAGAATGTACAAGAATACCAGCTTTGGGACATAGATGTTCCATCATCAAGTCATCCTTCA